TGCATGTAAATTCAAGCATAGTTCAACTGTGCTTTTACTTTCGAGGTCACAAATTAAGTTTAATGGCCACTTACTATAATTTCCTATTGAAATGCACAATATAAGAGTGTTAGTGAACTTTTCGTCTAACTGTTGGAAAAAAATTATAGACGCAAATGTCTCTAAATAGTAAATAAAAATGTTTCACACTTAATATAACTCAATAAATAAAAAACTAATTTCTCATCAGAGTTTGAATTCTGGGTAATAAAACAGGATCCAGCCTGTGTTAAATAACAGTTCACTGCCGTCAGTTTATAAAATCAATAAAACCTACCGCACCCTGCATCAAGGAGCCGCTAAGCCACTGGGAGCAGTTATCGTTATTAGATTAGATGAGATTCAGCTTGATAGCTGTCACACAAAACATGGAAATACAGCATTTAAAGAGGTGTGAAACGTCTGAACAATGGTACAAAATGAACATTAGTCTAATACATGATGGAAAACATCAGCAAAGTCTTGATCCCCGTTTCCAAGGAACCAGACTTTCTTATAATTTTTTAAGCTGTAAGAAATGTTGAGAAACAGTTCTCCTGTTTTTTAAGCTTTTTCAACATTCATCTTTGTACATTGGCTGCTTTTTCACTCATTTTCAGTCCAGTCCTTGTACCTGACCTTTTTTTGTTTGTTGAACCTGTTAACACTGACCTATGAAACATTCAAGTGCACAAAAGGCACCAAACTCAAGGGGTGAAGCATAACACCCCTTGAGTAGGGGTGTCTACTCATAACAGACAACAAAGAACTAACTTTAAATGTTATCTTTAGGCACTTTGTTATCAACAGTCTGTCATATAAACATATTGGTTCCAGTTTCTTTAGTTGAATGTATAAAAAAAATGTCAACGATGACATATTTTGATCCACCAACCAAAACCATCAGGGAATCATCTGGACATGGAGAAAATGAATGGGGAATTTTACTTCAGGAGTCAGGGCCATTAAAAAAGCGGGCACTGACAAGTTGATTCCTTATTTTAGCCAACAATAGCAGAAATAAGG